CTTATAATGAATGTGAAGAAATATTTGAATATGTTTGAAGAATAAATAAAGAAATAATAATGGATGAAATAAATCATTCAATATATTTAAAAGAGAAAGAATAATTGAAAAATATTCAAATCATAGAATATACAAAATATGATAAAATATTGAAATACACTATCAATTGAAGTTAAATCAATTGAAATTGAATATCTAGAAGGTATTTATCATTCAAATCAATTAATATTCAATTAACAATTATTGCAATAATAACTAGTTGTTTCTTCAAATACGTTTCATTAACAATCATCATTCATCACTAATTACATTATTAGATATGGATGTTTGTATAAATGTTGATGTAAAAAAGAATAAAAGAATATCATAACCATATTTTATGATTAAAATAAACAGAGTTAATGATAATTTAATTACTCATTTATTTTGAGTGTTTGATAATCATTCATTCTCATTCCTTCATTTCATCATTTTCATTTTTGCTGTTAATTATGTTATTATTAGTTTATATAAATCCACGTTGATCCACGTATACATGAATAAGAAAGTGTGAATAACAGCCAACACATCAATAAGCCAACACATCAACCATACTGAGTATTTAAAGGAACTTGAAGAAATAATTAGCATTTAGAAATAAGGTATGGATCCAAACAAATGGACAGATGCAACAGTTCAAATGTTCAAAGAATCACAAGAAAAAGCATTTGAAAGAAAGAATGCATATATCATGCCAATTCACATGATGAATGCAATTGTTGAAGAAGAGTCGAATATTATTATCCGAATAGTCGAGATGATGGGAGGTGATGTTAGTAAAATGAAGAAAGAAATACAAGAAGGAATGAATAAGATTCCAGTTCAAAATCCACCACCAGTAGAAATTGGACTTCATCCAACAACACAACAAGTGATAAGACGAGCAATAGAGAAACAAAAGACAATGGGAGATACATATCTTGCAGTTGATGTGATAGTAATGTCATTGATGGAAGAGAAAGAAATTAGTACGATAGTAGGAAATAGTGGAATTAATGTTCTGGAATTTAACAAAAAGATAATGGAAATGAGAAAAGGACAAAGTGTAGAAACAAAAGAAGCAGAGAGTCAATATGAAGCATTGAAGAAATATGGAAATGATTTAACGGCACAAGCAGAAAGTGGGAAGATGGATCCCATCATTGGAAGAGATGAAGAAATTAAACGAGTTATTCGTATTTTATCAAAAAAAACGAAAAATAATCCAGTCTTAATAGGAGAGCCAGGAGTTGGTAAAACAGCAGTAGTTGAAGGACTTGCACAAAGAATTGTTAAAGGGGATGTTCCAAGTAATTTGCAATGTCGAGTTATTGGATTAGATATGGGAGCATTAATAGCAGGAGCACAATATAGAGGACAAT